CATAAAAGTTGCAATTTTGCTGGTTTTGAATTATTATTTCTAAATGAGTAATTTTCAAATAGAAAGTGCAGACGAGTTTTTATTGCCCGAGAAGTACGCTACGGATGAGCATATAGAAATTTCAAAGAATGAAGCCAGAACAAAAATACTGGTGTTTCTGAAATGTCGCTGCTCGCATATTTCATGGAGAAGTCAAGAGCTTTAAAGTCACCGGCGAGATTGTGGAGTGAATACTCGATGATTAAATCAACTATTTTCATAGAGCAGAACGTGGATATATCAAAATACCCCAAGCTGAGAGCATTTCTGAAACGTAAGAATAACGGCTATACATCTAAAAAGTCTAAATGTTTTTACAACAGGACAAGTCAACTATTTTCTCATTCAGGCACCCGATAACACATATTTGCTAATGAAGGTAGTGATGGTCTTAGGCATTGCAGGAGTATGCCGTTCTGATGAGTTATGCAAACTTACTTTGTACGTCAATTTCAAAAATTTCGATGACATTATTATAGTTACAATTCCAGATTCTAAAAATGGTATGTCACGTATGTTTACAATTACTTCTCGTCTGGGTTCTGTTTCTCACCTAAAAGTTCTCAAGAAATATATCAAGATTATATTGGAAATTAAAACTGAAATTTCACGCAGTCAGCAAGAATACCCTTTCTATGATTCCTAATAAGATTGTGCAGTTTTTGAAACTAGAACATCCTGAAACATATACAGGCCATTCATTCCAAAGAACAGTGGCAACGTTACTGGCTGATACAGGAGTTGATGTATTAGCAATCAAGAGACATGTTGGGGGAAATCAGCCACAATTGTCGAAAGTTATGTTGCTGACAGTTTAAGTAACAAAAATGAAATAGCCAACAGGATTCTTTACAGTGACACTTCAACTCCAGGTTCTAGTAGTATGTCGCATCACGCTGTTTTAATGTGTAACAAAGTCATTTTTTTCGACACCCCACATTTGTTTTCTTTTCATTAAATGCTATTAATAAATGTAATTTACCGCACCGCCATTATTTTTTGGCATTTCAAACGCCGTCCATCACCACGTAGCACCAAGCCTATAGCCGAAAAATCCACGCCGCGACACCGCGGAAGGCAGTCGTCCACCAGCCAGTGCCGAGACCAGTCGTGCCGTTCTCCAGCCTGCCGTCTAGCCAGCGATACGTCACCGCCTGAGTAAGAATTTTACAAGTCCCGCTTAGGAGAACTACGCAGCCGCTACCGAAACGTCACCAGGACCTAGGAAGTAAGCCGCCGTCAGCGTTTTAGTTCACCACGAGGCATCGTAGAGACCAGTCCAGCCGTCAGCCGTTCCAGTAAGACCTACATCACCAGTAAGGAATGAGTAAGAATTTTACAAGTCCAGCCTGAAGAAACTGCGCAGCCGCCAGGATCCGCCATACCAATACAGCAAACAAGCTGCCGTCCGAGATTCAGTCCCTCACAAGCCGCCGAAACAACCAGTCCAGCCTGAGAACAACTCCAGCAAGCCGAGACGTCACCGCAGGAAATAGGTAAAATTTTACAAGTCCAGCCTAGAAGAATTGCGCAGCCGCCCGTTCCCAGACAAGGGACTTAGGAAAGAAGCTGAATTTGGAAATTCAGTTCCCTGCCAGTCGCCGTCGCAGCCAGTCGAGCCGTTCCAGCCCAGCCTACGTCACCAATAGGAATTGGTGAGATTCTGCTAAGTCCAGCCTGGCAGAACCGCGCAGCCGCCAGAGACCACTCCATCTCCTGTCATCACCAGAAGCCGTCCAATCCGACCATCAAGGTATCATTTGCCACCGTTTAGCAGTAGAGGTAGAGTAATATGGTGTAAATAGGTAGAATTGGACTAAATAAATGTAAATATATACCCATTGTGTGACTTTTATTCCTGTGTGAAGTCTAACTCTCTCTAGACCCTCTGGACATACCGTGTCTTCACTGCAGCCGCCCGCGTAGTGGTGTTTCTGCACTTTAAACAGAATCTGGCGCCCGAGGAAACTACCGCCACTTAGGCGTCATAGTGACGAACAACGAAAATACCAAGCAAGCGCGTCACAAATGGATCAGATAATATTGAGCCTCCGGTGACTGAAATGGAGCGGTCAAATTATTTTAAGAAAAATGTGACAATTAATAAACGCGAGGGGAATAATTATCGAGATTTTATGTTACTAAATAAAATGTAATGTAATTTGTTCATAAAATATGCATTTATAACTCAAAATCGCGTTTTTTCCTAGGGAGGTCATTTACCTCCCGTTGTCTATAAAAAGTTCCACTTCTACGGTAAAATCCACTTAGCTCCTTAAAAATAATGTATTAATAGTCTATTTACTATAGTGAAGCAGATAAAAAAAATAGCTGCATTGTTTTTTATGGCAATGGACAGAAATTTTTCAGATTTTTATCTTACGCTGGCATATTTTTTTATTAATTTTGTTAAATTTGATGTGCAGATGGATAAGTAGAGGCTGTAGTACACACTGACCACCCACATTTACAAAATTTCAAGTCTCATCGTTTTAGGGCATTGTAGACGAGTCGAAACCAAGCATTCATTTGGAAAAGGAATCATCTCTGGGATATGGCCCAATTTCAAAATGAACTGCACACTTCTTACTTTGCTGTGAATAAGTATTACGAATTTCAATTTACCAGTCAAGAACAAGGTGCAGTGATTGCTAAACCCTTCATAGGGTGTTTTCACATATACCGACACCGGCACGACATCAACACAGCACCGATACTGACACAAAATCACAACAACGCAAGTGGAGTAGCCTGTCACGACACAATACCAATATATTGGCGAGTGTGAAAACATGACCATTTATTTATAAGAGATTACGCATCCACCGGCATCATTGGCGTGTCGGCCAGTGTGAAAACGGCCATAGACTTTTGTTTACTGAAGAAAACTAATTTATTACTGTTCATCCCTAATCCATCAAGTAATCCTGCTTATACTGAGAAAATTCATATAAACGTTAAAAAAATTGTTGATTTAAAAACGTATCAGTACGTGCGAGATACACAAGCAGTTTTATGATGAGCTCTACCTTTCGCCCACGACCACCAACGAAGAAGTTCCTGAAGAATTTTGAAACTGTTCATTATCTTCTGCAGGCACTCCAGCATAATATAACTAAATGAAGGTTTTCAGTTTTGCGATTGCAAATTATGCATTTCCGAAGCTTTTAAAATACTGCAAATAAACTTTTATTGAAAAATAAATGTTTTGCTTTTGAAAACCCAAGTTCATTTGGAAACGGGTAATCTCCACTGTGAAAAATTTATTTTCCTGTGCACCAGAACAATTGAAAAATGTCAAAAACCCCATTAGTGTATCAGCCAGAATGCTTGCTAACAGAAAAAAATCTTCAAAAAAAATCAAGTTATTATTAAAAGTTTAATTTAAAGTTTGAGACCCAATACATTGCAAAAAAAAGACACCTAATTAAAAACTGGCATTAAGGACTTGCTTTTTGCAACACTCTGTATGTATATAATGTTCAACAAATGTGTCAAAATTTCTACCATGCAACTTGTTGAAGGCAATAACTTCTGTCTAATACATTTTTTCAAAAACTTATAGAATCATTCGTTATCTCTAACTTTTGAAAATTGAAATGGGATGTTGAATTAGTTGTTTTTTCGTGAAAATTAATGCTTTATTTAAAAAAATTGGTGATGTCACTGAAAGTATTGACCATCGCTAGGCCTGCCCATCTTTCTGGCAGCATTTTAATTCAACGTAGGAAAAACGACACGTCTTTTGAGGTTATCCAAGAATCAACCTATTTTTTTGCAGCTTTATAAAAATGGAAGTGCTGCACACCCAATCCATGTGCCATTGATCGGAACAAGTGATAATCAGAAGGGACAATGTCTTGTGAATACGGCGGGAGAGGTAATGTCCCATTTAAACATTTCCAAGAAGGTTTTCACTGGTATTGCAACATGTAACCAAGCATTGTCATGCTGCAAAACAAATTTATCGTGTCCCTGCTTATACAGGGGCCATTTTTCTTTGAATGCTCAAATTAAACACACCAATTATAGTCCAGGAAATCTCCCATGATGGTTTCATTCAGTTTGAGCAGCCCATAGTGAACTACACCCAGCTGATCCCACCAAATGCAGATGATGTTGACGCATTGCCAGGCTTCCCCTCAATTTTCTATGCTTAGGATTATCATAGCATATCTATTTTTCATCGCCAGTCACAAAACAACGTAAAAAACCTTTCCTTCTCTGCCGTTGAATCTTGTTCACACGTACAAAGATGCCGTTCGACGTCTATTGGCTTCAACTCATTCGGCACCCAATTTCCTTTCTTTTGAATCATTCTTAACGCTTTCAAATGTTTTGCAACTGCTGTGATCAACGCCTAATGATTCTGCAAGTTCAACTAGTGTCCGACATGAGTTTTCATCTTCAACTTGTTTCAGTGCGCCAGAGTGTTGTTTATCTTCAACGTCAATATCATTATTTCTGAAGTGTCTAAAGTCTGCATGTTGCTTGCGACGGAGTATGGTCGCCGTAAGTCTCAACAAGAATTCTGTCTGCTTTGGCTGCAGATTTCTTTTGAATAAAGTAGCGCAGTAAATTTCCCCGCAAGTACTGTTTTTTCGGCACGACTTTCGTTTGATATGAAAAAAAAAAGGTTGAAAAAATGACAGTTCGGGTGTCGCCACCTGGTGGAAAACAGCGAGAACTTATTCATTATCCCTCTATCATAAAAATTAAGATTCTTGAAAAAATCTTTAGACAAAATTGTTGCTTTTGAGGAGTTAATTGTGCAGTAAAAATTTTGCACTTCTTTCTGTATATCATAATTAATTCCTAGTCTTTTAATATCATACAATAAAACGCTATTGTGGAAAGTCAGATTTATTACGATTTTACAGAAGTCAATTCATAAAAAAATGAATTCTAAAAGCGATATGAAAAAATAAACGAAACAAAACAGTTTAAAGTAAAACTCAACCTACTGAAAAATAGTTTATTCCAAATTTAAAACAAACGATTCACAAATAACTAATCAAAGTGGGTAAATATAAAAAAAAATTAGAGCACTTACACGTTCCAATATATCCAGTAACAATAATACCTAACATAAATTCAATTAAAATAAAAGATCTTAATAATCGGCAAACAATAAATCGTGAAAAAGTCACTGCCGCCTTGTCTGTAGCAATTGACATACATGAATAAAGACGTACATGAATAAAAAGAATAATAATACTTCACGATGGTTTTAATTAATTTTTCTAAGTTCTACGTCGAACACTAATGTTGAATTAGGAGGAATGGTGGGCGGTGAACCTTTCTGACCGTAACTGGAATAAAGATTCAACATTCAAGTTTACGATATTGCAGAAATTATTGACAAATACAACAAATCAAACAAAGCCCAAAATATAATCGCCCTCTAATATCAAATTACAATCACAATAAAAACATTTCTGACTTACGAGAGGTAAGTGCAACCAAATGAATTGTTATTTACATTGCAGTAAAATTTTATGGTGATTTCAAACATGTTAAAATACCAAAAAAAAATAAAAAATATTTTTTGACAAACACGCTTTCATAGGCCGCACTGTATGTAATAAAATAATGTTCAAAATGTGAATTTTTTGTTCTGTCCAAAATAATATCAGCTTTATTAATAACACACCCTGTATGTAACGGTAAATAAAATGTGTAAAAAAGCCACGTAAAACTTAATTGTGAAAAATAAGCTTGTCTAAAACTACATTCAGTGTGACCGACGAACGATGCGACGAAACTACAAAAAAATACTTACGCCATAGCGGGTGGGCACGTTATCCTCCTCTTGCCCCCAACTTTCATGCCTGCCACTCCAACATCCCATCCTTTGACTACCTCACCATTGCCCAGGCGAAAACTGAAGCCAGAACCTTTCGTCGTCGAGTCAAACATTTTGTTATTTTGCTTTAGCCTGCCTTCATAGAACACCTGCGAAAAAGTATTATTGTTCCAGTCTGTTACAATAGTAAACCCAGAAAAACATGTCCAAAGCTTATATGTGGCATTGTGTAATGGCTCATACAAGAGGCAACAAGTTTCCAAACCATGATGGAAAACAAATTACAAAAATCCCAACCAAAAGGACTTGTCCTTTTGGTTGGGATTTTGCAATTGCAATTGTTATTATGCTGAAATTTGCCACGGTTACATTTAAAAAAAAATAGGTGATTTTCTAACTTTATACGGGGTTAAGTAGATAGTAGTAGAGCTTTAGACCATTTTAAAGAAATAAGTATGAATTTTTAGAAAATGCGCTGGTTTACCAATTTTTTACTGCAAAAATATTTAGAATCTCTTAAAAAGTACAACCACACAACAAAAATTGAATATTGAGTTCTACACTACAGGGTGTCCCGAAATTCATGCAACAAAATTTGGTCATAGGTTCTTGAGACAAATTTAGGGGACACGTATTTTTTCTTTTTGCCAACTGTCCCCCTCTTTCGGAGTTACAGCTCCCTGAAATCTGCCCATCTTTTTTATTTCTCAAAACCATGTTGTACGAGAATCATTAAATTTGGTACACAGGGGTTTTATGACATGTGGAAACGCACAGTGCTACGCTTTTTGGCGAGAAACCCCCTTAAAACACTTTTTCGTGGGCCCCCTTGCCTTAGGAACCAGAAAAATTTGATTGCAAATTTGACTTTTTTAAAAATTATTAGTTAGCTAGAAAGCCATTGAATTTAGAAACTTTTTTGTCTCTTGATATTTGTTTCGTAAAACGCAATGTTTTTGAGGAAAATGGCGAATCACGATATGCATTCAATCACATTTTGACATTTTTCTAGAAAACATTGCGTTTTACGAAATAAGTATAAAGAGAAAAAGTTTCTAAATTTAATGGCTTTCTAGTGGACTGATAATTTTTAAGAAATTTAAATATGCGACCAAATTTTTTTGGCTCCAAAGACAAGGGGGCCCACGAGAAATTGTCTTAAGAGGGCTCCGCCAAAAAATTTTGCACCATCAGATTCCACATGTCATAAAACCCCTGTGAACCTCTCGTACAACAGGATTCTGAGATATAAAAAACAGATTATTCTTAGGGGCGGACTTCAGGGGGCTGTAACTCCGAAAGAGGGGGCCACTTGGCAAAAATAAAAAATACGGTCTCCTAAATTTGTCCTAAGAATCTATGACCAAATTTTGTCACATGAATCTCGGGACACCCTGTATAGTCCAGTAAATGAAAAAAAAATCGTTTCAGATTGAAACTTGGTTTAATCGTTAGTTTAGGCAAAAAGAAATAATATTTCCCAAAATGTATCAGTTTAAAACAACAAGATCATTGTTTAAACAATGATTATAACGTAAAAATTAGCAAAAATTGAGATTTTTTGGCTGTATTAAAAAGCGCTCTTCAACAGGAGTTTTTGCTTTTGTTTATACTTATAGGTTTTCAAAAAATGCTTCATTTGAGACCTGCTAAATTAAAATCCATTAAAAATTTGTTTAAATAATTGCAAAAATCCAGCAAAACTTGAATTTGCTATAAATAGAAGAAAAGAGCATAAATCGTCTCTAAACTGCAGTAACAGTTGTATTTTGTTACCCTTAACCCTTTCACTGCTCCAGACGTATATATTCGCTAAAAATGTATAGGGCTCAAACTGCTCCAGACGGATTAATTCGCACGAATAGTTAAATTGGATCAGGCTGCTCAAACAGTATATATTCGCAACCGTGCGCATAGTGACTCGGTTATTGCAATTGGTAAGGCGAATTTTTGCGGGCGAACTTATACAGATTGTGACAAATATTTTTATGGAAAGAGGTACTGGTAATAATACCAAGATTGTTCATGTTTCTTTCAGTTTCTATTTAGTACATATACTGTATTTTATTCAAAATAAAATCGTAAAATTTATCGTAAATCGTAATTTAACACAACATAATGTAAAACTATAAGTGGTCTAACTGCTCCAGACGTATATATTCGCACGCGATAAACTTTCGCGCACGACGCGGTAGCTACGTTCAGACGTATTGTGCAGCGAAAGGGTTAAGAAACCCTGAAAATTTGGTAAAAAATATTTATTTGTTTAAGAGTTTTTGCATTTATTTATTAGAAATAGAACATTTTTCAATTGCAAAAACACGGTTGTTAGCATTATAGTAAAAGGACTTATGATGGCTCATTTGTTTCGTCTTGACTTATATTTTCAAGATATGCAATTGGAGATTGTAATTTCATAGGCTAACCTCCTACACTAGGCGCTATCTGTTTTGGTTTGGGTGCATCGTATATCCATGGTGATTTTTGGCTTTTTGGCTTTCAAATATCACTAGAAATGAAAATTTTTCTATGCGCATAAAAAAACGTGGGCTTAACTTTTGGCGGCATAATATGTTAAAAAAATTCGAAAGACGTCATATTTTTCTTCCTAGGTATTTAATTATGTATCTTTTCAAGAGTTGATTTTAGGCGAAAATGGAAGAGGATAAAAATGTTTGTAAATAAATTATTTATAAAATATGACTAGTTACAAATCGAATGAATGACGATTATTATTGTAAAAATCGAAAAAATAAGACAAAAATGGGGTTAAAAACATAACTTCTTAGGGAATTTTTTTGGGGTCTTAAAATTGGGTATAGGACCTTCATACTTGTCTCAAGAAAACTTCATGTTATGTAAAATCTTCACACCAAATTTCATCAAAATCAGTTTGATAGATTTTGCATAATAATTTTGCAATCCAAATTTTGAAAAAAAATTTGCAAATTTTCAAAATTTTGCACAGCAAAAACCAAGGCCCTTAGATACTTTCTCAAGCTTTCAAACGCTTTTTGAAAAATTGGAATCCTTCAATTAGGAGCTCTGGCGCTTGTTTAAACATTGGTCGAATTTTTGCACTTATAAACAATTAGAATAACTTTGTGAATATTCAATCAAATCAAATTTTTTAAAGCAGGAAAAGTTATTGGAAAGACGCTTCTTTAAAAAAAAAAACAGATCAATTGGTCAATTAATTACGTAGTTATAGCCAATCAAAGTATAATTCAAATATTATTTATTGTTTAAAATATAAGCAAATGAGAAATTAACTCATTGCATTACTAATTTTGCTAAATGCGAAAAAAAATTTATTTTACAAAATTAATAGTTTATAACAAATTAATAATTATTACAAAATGGACCGTGCAGTTATTTTCAAGCGCTACCCCTGATTAAAAAAAAAAAATTAAAATTGGTCCACAATAACCGGAGATATCGCAAAATTTTTGGGCAGTTAAGATTTGAGGTCTCAATGTCCACTTTTGAACGTTTCTGTCTTATTTCCCCCACCACATTCCAGGTGTAAAAATGTATTCGATGACGTTTTTTAAAGGGTTAAAAATTTCTTCAAAATGCATTTTTTTTGATATCTTTAATCGTTATTATGAAGTTTAAGGGTCGATTGATTTATTCCCGAAACTTCAAGTCTTAATGCAGTTTATAAACAAGTTATGATTTTTTTTAAAAAAAAACGCCATCTCGGCTAGAAATGGTCCTAGAACAATTTTTTTTTTTAAATTCGTGAAAAATTACCAGGATTACGAATATCAAAGCGGCTTTAAAAAAAAATATTCATTCTTCGCAGTTATTAAAGAAAAACCTTAAAAACAAATTACACTGTTTATACGCCATTTTGAGGAGGTTAGCCTATGAAATTACAATTTCCAGTTGCATTTCTTGAAAGTATAAGACAACACGAAACAAATCAGCCCTCATAAGGTGCTTTATTAAAACGCTAACAACCACGTCTTTTCAACTGAAAAAATATTATTTCTAATAACTAAATGCAAAAACTCGTAAACAAATAAATATTTTTTTACCAAATTTTCAGGGTTTCTTAAGCGTAACAAAATACAACTTTTACTGCAGTTTAGCAAATTAACAATCTGTAATAACTTTCGTTCTCAATAGCTGTCTTAAGCAAATATTTCTAATATTTTTAAAACCATAGGTACTTTACTCTTGGCAATTTTTGAAAATTCACCGTAAAAACACCCTGTACATAAATTAATTGAACTAATTTTTTCAACAACCCAGTTTAAGGCCAAGCAGAGATGATGCCCAGAAGCTCAAATTTCCACTCGAAACATTTTTGTCATTTACACCCCACGTACACTTAATCCGTGGACACACTGTATATCTAATTCGACCCTATGCCCAATATCGACAAATTTTAAATACTTACAGTGACAAACTTCCCACTCTTCGCCGGGGCACCCTGGCCTTCCTTAATATCTTCCACAATTACACCACCTCGCAACGATCTCTTCTTGGGTGTCTGATTTTCCTTATTGGGAGTCTTTGCTTCCTTCTTCTGCTCGTTCTTCTGTTGTGATAATCTCTTTACCGGTTCCGTTTCTTTCTCTTTGTTCTTCTTATTCTTCTTTTTTTTCTGTGATTCATTTTGGCCGTTTTTGGAACCAGGCACGCCGTTCACCTTCGGTTTAGCCACTTCTTCTTCTTCTTCTTCTTCTTCACCGCTGCCTGCCTCACTTAAAGACGATTCACCTTCTTCCTCCTCCAGATCTTCATCCTAATGACAATGCCAATTATTATTCATTAAGAAGTTAGCGGACTTCTTCAATCTTACCTCTTCTTCTTCTTCTCCCTCTTCGCCATCATCCTCTTCGTCTACAGACACATCACTGTCTTCATCGTCCTCATCCTCATCCAAAGACTTCCCAAGCAGACTCTTAATGTAATCGCTGTTATCCGAGTCGTCTTCATCATCTTGATCTTGGCTGCTGGTAACGACTCCATTTTTAGACTTTTTGCTGGGTGCTGAAAGTGTAATAAAAAGAGCTGTTAAAAATGACATAAATAAAGGATTGGAAATACACTTACGTCCACTTTCTACACTTTTTATAGGTCGTTTAATCTTAGGTTTAGGGGATGTTTCTTGCTGCACCTCAACCTCGACTTCCTCCTCTACTTCTTCTTCTTCCAGATCTTCAAAATCATCATTTAAATAACCAGTCAGGTGTATATGACATCGACCATTGGCTGCAAAAGAAACTTCGCTGCCAACCTGAATAAAATGGATTTATTTAATATATTAAATATAACAAATTTAACAGCTTTTTCTTATTTTTTGCATCTACAAACTTCTAAATTGGTTAAACATTTTGGACAATTTAAACCAGTTATTCCTAAAGTGGATCGCAATCCCCTGAGAGGCCTAGAGAGACATCGCACAAAGTCACTAAATTTTGTATGTTAAAAAAAATGATGAGACATATATATGTCCGTTTTTAAGAAATTAATTTATTACATCTACAGTTCGTTCTTCAACTTTAATTATTGCAGGGATTTATAGTTCTTTAGAGATAATACAGATTCTTCATAAATGTTTACAAGCCAAGTGACCCCCGAATGTTTTGTTTACAATAAACAGTAACAAACCATTATGCCTACGCTCGAGATAATGTGACTGCTGATTGGTTCAACAGAATCTCTTTCGTTTGACTAAAAAAAAAGCGAAATGAGAAAGTTTTTTCTGGGGTGGGTACCGGGTTTTCTAGGGCAGGCCGTGCACACCCTTGCCCCTCCTAGTTACGCCCATGTTAGTCATAACTTCTATATTGTAATACTGACAATAGCTTCGGTCAATGGCCCGTTGGTTTGTCCAATAAAATACGTCCGGTTTTGTATGAAAGTAGCAACCAATTGTTTCACAGCAGCGTTTGCTTGATAATTGATTAAAATATGCCAGTTGACTTTACACCTGTTATGATATGACCAGGGATGGTAAATGGGTAAAAAAAAAACATTCTGCCAATGTTAATTTGACAAAACTAGAACGGCTGAATAAGTTGGTTTATGAAAAGGCATTCCTATAGCATGGGAGACAATTTCACAACTTTCTGCATGACGTTTTAGTTTTTACTAGAATTGAAATAGAATTTGTATAGTGCAGTACCATTCCATTTTAGTTAAAATTTACAGGAAAATTTAAGCTAGTATTTAGTGAAGTAGTGTACAATCTTATAAAGTTATATATTTCAATGTTTAGTGACAGTACAATAAATTTTTGTATTTTCATTTCCCAGTCTTTGTGTGACATGAAAAAACATGGATACTAATCAAGAAAGAGTTGAAATGACTAGAGCCTACTTTTTGTAAAGATAAAACATGCTTCTGCAAAAATATGATATCCCATGGTGATCCCACCCGACAAGCATATCTGTAAGATTGGTTCAACATTTAAGACTGTGGGAGCTTTGAATGACAATATGCTAATGTTGGCCATACACTCAGAAACTGAGAACCAGAATGGTGTGGAAGAAACTTCTAATACCAGTAGTAGATTAACTAGATTTTAAGTATGTCAAGGAATTGTTAAAAAAACTAAAATATGAAAAAATGTTTGATTCAAATTACTATTCCATTCCATGCAAACCATTATAGTCACAAATATTATGTTACCTATACAAAATTAGTCCAAAAGTTTGGAAAACAATTAAAATATCTCACAATTCCACTTTTGTGATTAACTGCTAATGAAAATATTTAATAATTAATAAAATGAATACGCTTACATCAAAATTTAGATTCAGTGGACATTGCAATACATCTGGTTTCTTCAATGTGCACAACAGATAATTTCTACCTTCGAATCCACACATTACTTGGGCAGGTTCAGTTGAAGATGTTGATAAGTCTAAAGCTGCCATAGAAATATGAAATGCTTTCTTCACCTTTTGAGTGTACCGCCGCTGCGGTTCCATTATAAGTCCTAAAAATGTTCCAAATATAAGTTATTCTGAAGACAACCTCTTATTATCAACAGACGAATGATTTAATTAAAATCAAAATAAAAACAAGACAGATCTGTTTTTAAGTTATTTTTTCAACTAAAACACGTGCTGCCGGTTCACATATTTATCACAAAATATGGTTAGAATATATATTTCGCATTTACATTGAAGTACTTACCCCAAAACATATTTAAAACTGCCTGATAAATTTTAAGAAATAGAAGAAAAGGCTTGACTAGAATCTACACGAGAAAGTATAGATTTTTTTGTAAAATTGAGAAAAAAAATTACAGCACACCGTAACAATCAACATCAAAATGAGGGAAAAAGAAAAACTGTATTTGGATTACCAACTACGCCGCATGAAAAGCGCCAATCGCATACGCCCAGTAGAAGCTACCAACAGAAAAATCAAATATACCTAACGACCACTGAATGAAGATGAAAGATGGGCGCCATTATTCCATGGCTAAAATTTGGCCTCAATGATTTGGGATCGAGGGGGATTATCCCTCTTTATCCTGCCTCATCTCGTGTAGGCCTGGACAGCCTTCGTAGGTGGGCCCCATCCGTCATCTACGCCGACCGCAAATGCGGCCGGTGTAGGCGCTTTGTGGGACCTCCTTTTGTCCTGGCTGGGCCCCGCCGGCTAAGGCCCTTTCTTCTGGCGCTCTTCTTGCTTCGCTGGCTCGTCTGTGTAAACCCCGGAGGGTAGTGCGGCTATGCAGCCTGGGATGCGCTTTGCTAAGGTGGCCCTTAGGCTAGCTCGGGAGGGGAGGGGAAAGGAGGGTATGGGGGGTGTGTATGTGTCGTTGTCTTCGTTTCTTGATCCTGGCGGTCTCTGAAACAGAAAAGGGAAGCGGGCACGGGGGGGAGATGTCGTTGGGGTGGTATCCCAGGGTCAAATAATTGGTGTCTAGGTCTTTTGTGTTTGTCGGTCACGTCGGGAACGTAGTCAACGGCTTGCCTGAGGAGGGGATTGTCATGTCCAGCAGCTACGTCAAACCGTTTCTCCGTGTTTTGTCTTATTGCGTCTGTATAGCGTTTGTGTATTGTCTCGTAAATGTCAGTGTTTCTTACGTACCAGGGCGCGTCGGTGGCCGTGCGGAGGGCTATGTTTTCCACAGCCTGTACGTACCAGGGCGCGTCGGTGGCCGTGCGGAGGGCTATGTTTTCCACAGCCTGTAGTGACTTTAAGTGGCTTTTTGACGCGTGACCCCACGCCGTGGAGGCGTAGGTTAGCTGCGGTTGAAGTACCACCTTGATAAGCGTTCGCTTATTCCTTAAACTGAGGGTGTTTCCACCTTTGAGTAAGGGATAGAGCCTAGCCTGGTGGTCTTCACTCGCGCCACCGTCTCCACGATGTGCGGTTTCCACGTGAGACGCTGGTCCATCGTCACGCCCAGGTATCGTGTTTGTCGATTCCAGGAGATGGGTTCCTGGGATAGTGTCAGTCTATCGAGGTTTTGTGGGATTTTTCGTTTGGTAAAATGGCGGTTAATATGAACAAAGTTGTTCCATTATTATCGTTTTTATCGAGTAGAGTAGTGATGATGATGAAATGTATGTTATAGCAGTTATACGAAAACAACTGCCAAAAGTGGAAGGATTCATGGAAAATGTCATCTACAAACTTAAATAAGTGATCCGTTTCAAATTTAATTCTTGTTCATTGTAACTACCTTCTTTGAAAAACTTCGACTGGTGAACTGTTACTTTGGCTGAATAAAAATCAAAACATAAACATAACAACCTATAATGTCAGAAATCCACGCAAAAATTGATATTCCATTGAGATTGCACCAGAGCATATTTCTCATACAACCAGTGGAGTGTCAGTGCTACCCGAGTGCAGCTCCAGTTTTCCCCAATGGAAATCGCTATAAAGAAGTTTGACCTTCGAGCATATACCTACTAGAGGCATCCTTCAATGCTAAATGAGCTGGTTAAATGAGCGAACAGACGTGCGGGAGAGATACCAATTAAAACTATTAGCTATCTATCTCACTAGGTAAATTTTATTGGTTAATAATCAGACCCCGTGATTCTTAACGGGTTCCCTTTTGTGTTCCGTTGCCCCCCTCACGCACCACCTCTTACTGATGAGTAAATTACACTCGTAATTGTTTTCACACTATGTGGAGTTAGATATATAATATATTTCGTTATGGTTATTATTTTGAGAAACTGTCCACTAATAAGGGAAAATTTTTTTATTAGGTTCTGTCTTTTGGCTCGCAATTTTAAAAATAAATACTTTCGTATTTCGTATTTCTCTTGGAGGTGTTTCAATTGTTTAAGTTGGTGTGTTGTCGACGAACACTTCAGGAGCAGTTCGCTGACAATTGGAAAGCAGCTTTTGTCAAAACGAAAGCACCTGTGATGGAGTTGTATCACGTATCTAATATGTCAAATATCAAATGATTTGACGTTTATTTTGATAATTGACACAATTATTTTTGTTTTTATTTCTGTTTTCTGTGAATTCCCAAGAATTTCTACATACGTATATATAATAATGAGTCTTCTAACGGTTCTATTATACTATTCCTGCACATAATCTGCTAAGCCTAAAACAAGGTAAAAAACAAATATTTATTTTTTTAGTTGATTGTGCAAGAAATGGAAGAATCTCTGGGTGCTCAGTATGCCATACAAATAGCTGTACAAACACTTCGAGATAGATGTAAAAGTTTACAGCATCGCGTCGCTGTTCTAGAGGAGGAAAATATGAATCTTCGAGTCCAATGTAGCCGAAGTCAAGAAAATGAAAACTCCTTAACAGAAATTGATAAACTGAAGGAGCACGTAACGGAACTTACAGAACAAAAAGACCAGCTTCAGAACAGAATTAGAATGATCTGTAATGAAAATCAAGACTTATGGAATAAGCTGGGTAAATTAACAACTGTAAATAAGAACTTGGGTGAACAGTTACATAAAATTAATGATACTGTTACTCAAGTAACTTTTCCATTACAACCACACACTCCTCTGATAAGATCAAAGACTTTTACACAGGATGAACCTCAGACTAGATTTCTCCAAAAAAATTTAGAAATCAATGAGAAGATTAGTTTAGAATTAGAAGATATTTCCTTGAAATTGACCGATAGTTTTTCTAAGCAAAAAATGGAATTGGATAAATTATGCTCCGAAATGGAGGGCATGCAATTTAACGATAATATAATAACAGAAAATTGTGGTTTCTTTTATGAAGAAGAATTAGACGAAGACATAGTGGAAGAAGTTAAATACCTCTTAGAAAACCTAAAAATGTTGAGGGATGAGGCTTTACAACAGAATGATATTATAAAGAAAAATTTAGGAAATTTAAATGATTTACAAGGTAAATATTATTTGTTACAAGTTTTTATTTAAGTATTCAACACAAAGCAAGTATTATCTCTATCGTTACATTTGTTTAATTTAACGTGCAATCTGTCCTTGATTTTTTTTCTTTTCTTAGGGAACTTGGTGTGTAAAACTTGTGAAAAGAAAACAAATGGTATGTGTGACCGAACAACTTCGACTAGCGATATTCCCAAATCAGGCATAGATAAATGCACGGAAATTGTAAATTTAGACAATGAAGTACCATTAGGAACATCAAAAGACTTACCTTCACCTGAGAAAGAGAGAATGTGCCCAGTATGTACGAAATTATTCCGGAAAGATGTGCAATTTTTAGAGTTCCATCAACATGTTGAGGATCACTTCAGCACGGAAGTGGATTCTTATGAAGTGTTATGAGAAAAATATAAATAAATAAGGCGAAATATATTTGGAGTATTAGATTTATTTATTATTTTTAGAGATTTTATTACTATTTATGGGTTGTAAAACAGTGATATATCAAGATAAATAATAATTTTTTAGTTCTGCCCTGGTTTATTCATTATTTCTTTTTAATTGTGAGCTATTTGGTTAATTAATAAAACTAATTATTTTTTGATACAACAATGCATAATTTCATTTTTCTCTAAGCAGTTTAATATTTCAGTTTTTGAAAATTTAGTATACAGAGTGTCCTAATTGATGTGTTCACGGTGGTCCAAAGTTTACTTGCCTTAAAGAGGTCGAATTTTTCGAAGAAATCGTAAGCATGCTATTTTTTTACATGGCAATTTATTGAAAAATTATTAACAATTTTTTACAATAAACCTACAATTAATACAAAAAATCTAATAACAACTTTTAAAAGAAATTAAGAGTAATTTATTTTAAAATTTTCTTCAATCAAAAAAAAGTTATTTGCATAAAAATGCTTAGATTTATTGATTACTATTAAATGAACAATACTTTCATTGTAATTTTCTACAAAATAACGGGTTAACCTAAATCAGAAGGTTTAACATCGCTAGTGGTAGCGGGTTTCTGTGTAGTTTGCTGTAGAAGATTTTTACTGAACCATGCCGGTCGGGGTTTCTTCACTTCTACTATTCGCTTTCCTTCAAATGTCTCGTCTGGTTTTTCATCTTTCTCTCCTTCATATAACACTACCACTTCTTTTTCTACCGGTTCAAGTTTCAGTTCTTCTTGAATTGCTTCTTGCATGGCTTTAGTTTCATCCATTACTTTTTTGTAACATGTCGCTAAGAAGTAAGTTATTTTTAAATATACCTGAGTGACATTATTTTGTAGAAGTTCTTTTTTTTACAAAAATGATTAGAGCTTAAAAAAATAAATGCAGAAAGTGCAATTGAGCATTTCCCTTGTTCAAATTTTAAAATTATTAGCTTATATAAACAGTATACTGAATTATTTTAAGGCAAAAATAGAACCTATCAGTAACCAATAACAGTTCAGAGTAACTCTAAGTTGCTACTAGTTGCTGATAGCTACTATTTTTGCCAAATCGAAAAGCCCTACTGTATAAAAATGCTATAAAAATTAAAGGGTTGGCAGCATTGACTGATAAAGCGACATCTTTAAAATTTTGTCAATGTCAACATTGAACATTACCAACATTATTTTTATAATGAATATGAAGACTGAAGCTATTTTTGTTTTTTTTACCAATTTTTGGACAATATGATTAATATAACGCAAATCAAATATGAACTATTGTTAGTTTGAATAATATTATATGATAATTTAAAATTTTAAATTATATTTGCATAGAAAATTCCAAAACAATGGCCCTTCACAAATTGTAAAAATGCTGTACCGCTAGTAAATTACATTTCTATAGTAAATTATATTTCTAAGTACAAAAAAATTCTCTTAATGATTCGTAGATGAATGAAAAAAAATTAATTTAGATAACAAGAAATATTTCAAATACTTAAATTGGTTTATTCGGGTGTGTATAAGATCACTGTCAATGGTTGTTGGTACATACATTTGAAAACACTTACGGCATAGGACTCCGGCCTCATGGTCATCTCCACAAACATTGCATGTTCTCAAATTAGTTTTGGGTTTCATAATTTTCAAAACGTAGTCCGGATGTCCGAATTTTCTCTTAAGCCTTTTCTCGATAGACCTTCTGTGTTTGGGCACTGCCCAAAGAAACCCATCTCCCAACACATCCTTCAGCGAAAATCGAGGGGGCTGTGGAAATCGATCTACTGCAGTTCCGGCCAGGCAAAACGCGCCTGTCAAAAAGTGAGGTTAGGTTGGGTAGTAAATTACGCGAGGTGTATGCAATAAGTTACATAATATCTGATTTACCTGGAGGATATCTTCTACCCAATGTGAGGTCGATTAGCTGCTCGAATCGTCCGATTGCGATATTTATACGGGTTAAAAGTGAAGCGGCCATCGTCCTCCGCGAAGGAAAATGATTGTGAATCAGCTGGCCCGGGGTGGGACACTCGCAGCAGTCGGCGTGCTGTACTAGACGTTGGAGAGGTGTTAAGCCGCGGTTCTTCGTCGCTGATTGCCGTCTCACAACAGTCTTGACTATGGCTTCTGTAGGGTCTAGTAGGATTTGTGCCAAGGTGCAGGATAAGTTGTGTCAGTGGGGACAATACACGTTTATCAGGAGGAAATCCGCTTGTGTGCGCTCCCGAATCGGATATCAAACACCCTTCAGGGCCTACTTGCAGGACACACAGGTCAGACTATTTACCTCTTTAAATTAAATTTCATTAAAATACCTATTATAATGGAGTACATTTTTTATCTCGTAAGTGTTCCATTATCGAACGGTAAGGAATTTGACTAAAATCGCTGAAATAACCATTTCTTTAATGTGTATACAGAAGCTTTTACTTTTATTAACAAGTCGATTGAACTCATTGGAAAGTTTTATTCATGAAGACTTTATTGTATTAACTTCCATTTCACTGCAGAATGTGTCCTACATATGCGAGAAAGATTCGTATTGCCTCTAGCTTTCAAACCGTTCCCGCAAAATGCACCTGACGCACGCGCGCGGTTTCGGAACGGTTTGGGCATTATAAAATCTAATTCCAATTTTAATTGTTATTTGCTTTCCTTACGCGTAAATATTTGGGAAAAAGTAGGCTAGCAAAACGGATCCGTCGATGCGGACAAGTGAAAAATTCTAAGCGAGTTTAATCTGCCACACAACTTTCTCGATTTTGCCGTCTTTGCCGTGTAGTCGAATAAATAACTTTCTTTTGCGCGCATGTTGTCGGAACGCGCAAACATTTTCGCTAGCAGGGTTGTTTTCTAAATGAAACGCGTAGAAATCTAGTACCTAAGCCGTAAGTCACTTTAGGCAGTACCCATATTTAATATTTTGAGGTAAAATATGAATATAAATATACAGGATGTTCCGAATTATCGTGCGATATTTTACCAGCACGATCTATTATTAAAAATAGCAGGAAAAGTACTTTTTAAAGTGTCTAGTCCTTAAAAAAAAATGATTTCCTGAACCCTGAAACATATTTTTCCAGATATCACTGAAACCATTCGAAATTACTTAGGTTTTCAATGGAATTGTTGAAAAATAAATCCAAAATTTTAGTCAAGGTTGTGGTTAAATGTTATTTTAACTGTTCTGTATGTGGACTTTCCTACTTTTTGAGAGAAAATTTGAAATTATATACAATTTTACAGCAAAAAGGTGTTAATGTATTATATAAAAAGTTGCACAAGTTTGGAAGTAAAATTGATTTAAAAATTGCGTTAAATTCCACAAAAATGTGAATTCGAAATTGTAAACCATATGAGGTTCCTAAGTCATGAAGAACAGGAGCATCGATTATTTAGAAATTTTGTAAATGTATTACTTTGCTTATTAAAAAGTAGCGCCATTATGTGTCAAAAATATGAAAGAAAAAACAATATCTCAGAAACCTACAGAAAGTTACCTATAGGTAATTATAAAGATAAAGTTAAGGGAAACTAGTAAAATGATGCTTTGAATGTGAAAATTCTTTTTTAGAAATCGTTTAGGCGCCCAATGAAATTCCAAATATTAAACGAGAAAAGTTTTTTTCTAAAAATGGAACAGATATCAGTTGTTGTCTCATATTGATTAATTTTATAATGAGGTCAGTAACAGATTCTATTACTCAACAAGAAATTGTGTATATACCTACTTATATAACTACGCAAATTTGTATGTAATCTACATAAAACTGAAATTAAATGCTATGTCAAAATTGTTATATTATAGGTACGTTATCTTCGAATGTCGATAGTTCGTAACATTTAAAACTCTAAGAAAAATTAGTTTGTCTCCTTAAACAAATGAACTCTTTTAGGCACTATGTTTTTGTCTTACATAAAAAATTCATATCTACTTATTTTGAATTTAGAAATATTTTATTTAATGGATGGAATTATATAGATATTATTTTCAAGTTATTATGTGTTGTGAAAGTAGTAAAGTAATTTCTAATTAAATACCGTTTCATTAAAAACGCCATTAGTATTAATAAAATGCAATGTTTTCAAATTGAGGTAATGGTAATTCCATTTTTTAACTGTACACAGTGTGGGCCTCCAGATTTTTTGGAAGACTCCTCATATTTTGGGAGAATACCGACTAAAAATAGTTTCATTTTTTTGTAAGTGTGTCATGCATTTTTTCTTCGATACATCTGGTAGATAAATCCATGGTATATTTAATTGTGTCAAGAAAGAGTTGAATTAAAAAAAAAATAATTATGCATCACATACAGGATGTTCATATTTGATCGGGAATTGAAACTAATCGGCCTACAGGCGAGAAACATGTTGTTTTCGGTCGCACTAAATGACGCCACAAAGCGTACTTGGTAGCGTGCCAAGTTTAAATTTTTACATAATTTTAAACATTTATAATTAGATTATTATGCCACTAACACACATATCAAAATGACAGACGTTGTTGGCGGCGTCCGAGATTCCCCAAAATGTCGCTTCGTTTCTGGATACCTACCTATTATTTGTTCCTGTGACAAAGGAGGAGGGCTTCTAAGGCCGGTTTTTGGCCTAATTTATTTTTAGCTGAAAAAATCTGAAAAAAAATTTTTTAGTAGCTACGAGCAATACTGAATCGTTTTCACCCTAAACGGACCAACCCCCTTACCCTCCTTTCCCCCTCCACCCCCTTAAATGCCGGGGTATCCATCGCTTATTAGAGGAATCTTTGAGAGATGCGAAAGACATTCAATTCCTATGAATCTTACATATGAAGAGTTTTTTGGATCCAAGAAAATTGAAATGTCTTCAAAATGCATGAATTTTTTTGTAATGGGGTTTTCTGGGTCTCTGATTACGAATCTGAAGGTAGAATTACGAAATTTAAAATGACGTATTTCATATATCGTAATTAGCCACCCAAAAAACCCCTCAACACAATTTGTGCATTTTGAAGACAGTTTAATTTTTGTCCGCCATATTGGATCCGCCATCTTGAATTTCGAGATTCTGAGACCAGATTCATGATCAGCGACCCAAAAAACTCTTCATATGTAAGATTCATAGGAACTGAATGTCTTTCGCATATTCTCCAAGCTCTTTAAAGATTCCTCTAATAAGCGATGGTTTCCCTGGAATTTAAGGGGGTAGAGGAGGAAAGGTGGGTGAGGGGGTTGGTCCGTTTAGGGTGAAAGCGATTCAGTATTGCTTGTAGGTACAAAAAAAATTCTGATTTTTTTCAGCCAAAAATAAATTAGGCCAAAAACCGACCTTAGGGGCCCTCCTCCTTAGTAATTCTTAAAATAGTCCAATTGGATTGAATATATTTCCTTGGACTACCCACCTCAGTCTCAGTACGTATATGGTTTTTGAGAAGCTTTTAATCCCAATGCAAAGTTAAGTTGCGATATTTTCTAAACATTTGTTGTTACTGCAGGAGGTATCTAAAAACTTGCATTTGAAAAAATAAAAAATAATATGCGCTGCTTCCGATAACCTATTCCGACCTATCAACCAACGAGATTAAATAAAAAACAAAATAATTAGAAGGATGCACCGTGTTATTTTTATTCGTGTTTTTATGGAGACGTTGGGCAATAATTAGGTACTTGCCATCACCGGCTTTCGATACCCGTATCGGGAGGTCAAGGATTCCTCGACTTGCTACAATAATCCACCTCTCGAGTTACAAACGACACGCATGCCCTGCGTGCATATATATTCACGTTAATTAATTTATTTGAGATTGGTGCCAACCGATAAGGCGTGCGAGTCGTTTTCGGAAAACCAAAAGGATCGGAGGGGTTTTCTTTTCCTTCCATAAACGTTTTGGTGGATGTGAGTCCATAGAAGAATAAAATCTTGGGGTCTAACGATTTGAAGGGAACCCGGCAACGTCGCCTCGAAGAACAACAAACGAATATTCTAATAACTCCGGGGACGTTGCCACGGCAGCCACGATGGGTGAGAGTGACCTTGATCCTGCCCAACTGGGTCAGCTGTTACTTTCTTCGGGCCGCCGCTGACAGGGAAAACGATCACCGGCATCAGACACGTTACACGATCTTCGGTGCGTTCATCTGCTACGCATATTATTACACTTGTGACAGAGTAAGACCTTTTCCTACCTGTTGAATCTGTAGTAATAGATCTTTAAACGTTGGAGTGAAGATTGGATTAAGATTTTTGCTCTCTCTCCCAATGGACAGCGATGAGGAACTTTGAGAGGGGAAACTTCTTTTGGAAAGAGTGAAAACTGATGGTTTAAAGGGCTAGTAGATTGTTTCAAATACTGGTTAAATTCTTTAGGTACAGGTTTCAACCAATGCAAAAAGTCCTTAAAATTTAAAATTTCAGTCATTGAGGATAGCAGCGTTAAAAAGAAAGATTAACTGGAACAAATTCTGTAACTTAATAAATAAAGGTTTGTCGGAAAACAATAAGGAAATGTTTACTGAAACTACTTGAATGCAAAATAAATTCAAAGTGACTTCCGCCTTGTTACTGACAATACCCAAATCGATTATAAAAAGCATTCAGAACATTTTGTAACACTTCCAGCGTTACTCGCCTAATTTCATTCCTGATTCTTTGTTGAAGCTCTGTGATGTCGGTTTTGTAACATAAATCTTGCTTTTTAGACATCCCCATAGAAAATCTAATGGGGTAAGACTGAGTAATCTTGCTGACTATTTAATTGGGCACTTTCTTCCAATCCACCTATACGGAATCGTTGAGCAGCAATCGTTACAATTTGAGCAAAATGTGGTGGCGCTCTATCTTGTTGGTCAAATACATCAGGATCCAAATTATTGGGGTATAAAACCGCTAAAGCAGGAACCAGTTCATCTTGGAACATTGGAACACAGTTAGGTATGTTTGTCCGGTTACATTGTCATTGAAATATACAGGACCTACTATGCGATCCCCAATAATTCTAGCCCAGACGTTTGTTTTTTGAGACCTTTGGGTAAGACATTCACGCATCCAGTGGGGATTTTCGTCAGTCCAATAACGGAAGTTGTGCCGATTGAGGCCCATGTAATATGAACGTAGCTTCATGAGAAAACAGCACCCATTCCAAAGCAATTTGCCCACCATCGATAGAAGCCATAATTCGTTCGCAAAGGTCGAGTCTTCTTCGTTAAGCTCGTGCAGATTTTGCATCTAATATGTGTTACAGAAAAACTTAAAAATTCACCCAATAAGTAACCCAAATTGCACAAACCTGTACTAA